TGTGTGTGTGTGTGTGTGGACCTCGGGATCAAGTGTGTGTTAAGATCAAAAGCGCAGTTCTCACATCGGTAAACATTCTTTGGAAAGCGAAACCATGAGAAAACAGACTAGACGTACCAGGCTTTGTCAGGACAGCCGCGCAACACATGGCGATCTCGGTGTCATTGAGCATGAGCGCATTAAAGCTTTCGGAGAAAGTGAACATCATGCAGACGACACTGGGCTAAATACGAGGGATAATAAGGAAGGGTAGACAAGTCCCGATTAGGAACCAAAACAGCAAGCATGCAGAATATAATTAACATCCCAACCTGATGACAATTCTCAGTTTTTCTTATATCGCTGCCATCGGTAAAGGCTACACAGTGCATTTGCCATATGCTTTTTACATCAACTTTCGTCTACTAATGAGTAGCGTGAAACCACATTCGGTTTTCGTCCGCTACGCGAATGTTACGTTTTCCGCATACGCAGATTTTGCCAATCAACACCATCTCTCGCTCTTCGGTTCTACTTGGACAACGCTTAACAAAAAGCAGCCATATGAACATCAGATTGAGCAATTCTAAAGGCATAATAACCAGCAGCAAGGATCGGATTACGTTGTTGTTATGCAAGCATATCGATGACAAAGAGAGGATTAAAAATTGGTCAACAATGTCCGATAGTGCACGATTTGTGCATGCTGTTAAACAAGCCCATATCAACATGGAAATTGCATTTGAAACCGCACCTGACTAACCAAGTGAACTGGAGACGATAAAGTGTTCATAGGAAACCGAGTAAACTGACAAACACCAGTCACTTACCGAATAGACAAAATCTAATTCCTGCTTCGTGATCTGCTTCCCGTCAGCCAGAGTAATTGTTCTTTCATGCATTGACACCATACGGGCGGCTTGGACCATCCAAACTTCGAAAAAGGCAGCTTTTATGAGGATTAGTTGATCCGGTTGACCCAAGTGTCCGAAATCGGGTAACCGTTTAGCGAATTCAACCACCTGTTGAATGTGCGGAGCAAGTAATTGACTCAACTCTTCGTGCATGCGTAATCGGTGCTCGTCCACTTTTTCCGGCCAAAAATCCCGATTTACTGTAGACTGCGAGAACAGGAATACCAACGAGCAAATTTTAAATAATGATGGGCCAAACAGCACAACACACTCATGCATTCTATCAGAAAGTATAACACAAGAGCAAGGGATGGTACTTTACAGGCAACTGTCCACGTGAAACTCAACCACCGAAATCGACTTTGGTAAGATTGAAATGGGTTGGGTAAAAGTAGATTGTTACGTAAGGTGAATGTGAATGATGATTCTCGTCACCTCGGTCGAGAACGCAAATCGAAAAAAAACCTGCCGCCAATCGGTAAATAATGGCAATCGATAAATGAACGAAAGATGAGTTCGTTCACTGAATGACATGTTCAGACCTAAATATAGGCACCAGCAAATCTTTCAGCTATGCCAGAGGATCTGTATGAACTCAATACTGCCGTATTGAACCAAAGGAAATATGTACACAGTTGTCCAACAGTTTACATACACCGTGGAGTGTACAATAAACGTATTTTTACGTTTGATGCACAAGGCAAACAGAGTGTCAGGGTGACGGGCTTCAGTTTCCATGACATTTCTATTTGAATCGTTCGGATAAAGTGATCAGAGTGGCTGAGTGATTAGTTGGATGGATGAAATATACGGCTTATATTACCTCACATTTTTGTTCATTCAACTCACACACATACACACAAATACATATGTGTGTGTGCGCGCGTTTGCGAGTGCAAATGGCCCAATCGATCTCGCTCAATGCATGGTCTCGTGATTAGACAATCGTGCAGTCAGCTGATCGCCCAAATTGTGTACGCATCCGCAAGCACACGCGAGTGTAGAAGTGAGTGACTGTTATTATTGTGGCGATTGAGCTTCCGACCAAAATGCGCCTGCGCCAGCCCTGTTACCATCTCAGTTCCACACCCCTCCCCCCCAAACACAAAGACAAGGTCAACGCCTGTGAAAATACCCACACAGACAATCTGCCGAGATGTCATTCTGTCGGAATTCAGAACCCCCAAACTACTCACGCACCCAACCCATACCAAAAAACGGTGAAATCACCGAAAAGCATCAGATGGAGACAAATAGTGAAACGGGAGGAACACTAAAGATGTCGACGTCATCAAAACATGACCGTATTTTACCTATTCGTGTATGTGTATGAACATGCAGGATGTGTGTATGCATCTGAGATTACTAGAGAGAGGCGAAGATGTGTGAACGGCCTCTTTTCATTGCTTGTGAACCTACAGCGGGTTGAATTTTATTTTGTGCCAAGAGAGCACAAATGAACACAGTACGCGTGTAAGCAACAAGCGAAAGATAAAAAGAATACAAAGTATACACGTGATGCAACAGGACAAAAAACGTGAGGGAAGATTACTGCGGTATTGGTGCATTCATTATAACGTGAGATTATATGCAGCTACGCACTTTGTAACGTTCACAGAT